AAAACATTAATAGACAAAAAATAATTTTCAATTAAATATATCCATTATCTTTGGATAATCAAAACATATTTAATCAAAATACTAATTTGCCACATAATGTCACTAATTATAGAATATGATTCACCTTTGGGTGAATCCCTCATTTCTAATAATCAGCAACGTCAATTTATCCAATTTATATCAGTACATGGATAAATGACAATTTTATGCATGCGATAACATTCTAGTTTGGCCACTGTGGTGACTAACAAACTATAACCATACTGCACACAAATAAATAACTTTTATGTTATCTACACACTTTTAGTTTGACCACTTTGGTGACTAACAACCATGACATAATGTGTGAAAATAACTTAACATATCAATCTCATATCATAATCACAATATTTACATCAATAAAAATTATTAATGAGTATATATAAGACAATACAATCCATACTTCAAATATACATATTGCAATTTATTAATATTATTATTACTATTTTTTAAACATGAACGATACAAATCTTCATACTAATGCTCATATAAAAAATAAAAAAAATAAAAATTCATTCAGCAGCTGCGAAAATCATGTTATTATATATACATGCTGAATTATTCATAATATAAACAATGCATATATATATATATATATATATATATATATATATATATATTAAACAATTAAGGGATTAAAATTTAACATTCAATTTTAATCCAATAAAAAACACAGTACTTTATATATATGATAATATATATAAACATTAAGCCACAAGCATTTGTCTCGCCTTTATAAACATTAGCTTTATATTTGTAAACATTAATTTTATGCATTTGATTTATATATAAAAGCAAAAATCTAAACATATATATAAAATATCATTCGTAACCGAGGAAACGATGTATCCATTCCATCCATGGAAATCGTTCTATTATAATATGTATTGGGTCACGAGAATCAATGCATATTGATTTTTCAAATAATATAACTGGAATATATATTAACTTTTATGTCCTTCTTATATACTTTAACGAAAACCATCGGTTGACTTTTATACGAGTACAAGTTGAATCGGTGTATTTTTTTTTTAAATGTATATAAAGTTCACCGATTCAATCATTGAAGAAAGTAATAAACTTTATATAATGAACCGACGAATTACAATGATACGGAAAAATCATAAATTTTAGAAACCCTAATTTTTTAAAAATCAAGAATCCATTCATAACCATACATGAAAAATCATGAATTTCCAAACCATGCTCTGATACCACATATTAGTTTATACATAATATATCATGTTCATAAATCATAAAATAGGAACATGATAAAGAGATCTTGAAAATACATGATTTTCACATACATATAAGAGATAAAGACATACCCGAAAACAATGATGAAGGTTTTACAGCAAACATCTTGTCAGCGATTTTTTGGGGTAGTTTCTTTCTATAAGCCTTCTTTTCTTGATATATATTCTAATGGAGAGAATAACATTAAGGTTGAACGGGAGAGGATCATCCATAATATATATATTCCATAACTTATAATCCGGTACATCCATCATATACCAAATCAAATCAATGATTGAGATTAAGTGTATCAGTAATTAATTGGGTCATATAACATTTAATGGGTAATATCAAGAGTATTAATATTATAATTATAATAAAATCTTTTTAATATTGTAATTGACTCTTAATATTTCTAACAGAAGGTATTAGTGATTAGATTCAATTTTTAGCTTAAAAGTTACTTAAAAACACATATTTCAAAAAAACTCTATCTCCATCTCTATAGCTCTTCATTTAAAAAAAAAATACACAATTCAAGAAGAGCTGATAAGAGCTTAAAAAAAGTTCATTCTAGGAACTTTTGTCTTTTAGCTTTTTTCTTAATTTTATAAATAAAAAAATTTCTCAAAACCTGTTTAACCAAACATTTATTTATAAGTAGTGTCTTGCATAAAAAAAAGAATGAACTTTTTTTTAAGCTTTTTTCTTAATTTTATAAAAAAAGAAATTTTCTCATAACCTGTTAACCAAACATTTGTTTATAAGTAGCGTCTTGCATAAAAAGAAGAAGAAGGAGAATCCAAAGAAGACACTTTGTCTAATCTAATTCTTTATTTTTTTAAAAACATTAAACGCACCCATAATTTTGACTTGAATACATTTATCGTGAGGTCCCTCTATTGAGCTACCTGTACATGTAGATAATTAAAACAGCGAGCGTTGATGCAGATAACGTGCAAATTGTTTACACGTAGGTAATGCTAATATGAAATATTCAGTTATATTTTGAACGCCATTTTAAAATAGAGACAAATTTTATTTTGCGTTTTTTACGTAAGGTATTAATTTCTTAAATAATTAGATTAATTTTTCGCTGTTATTACCTAATATACATTTTTTACGAAAGCGTAACATTGTTAACTTCTTGCTTGAAATAATTGCTTTACATAACGTTCACCCTAACAGAAATGAGTTTATCATTTTACTTTGTGTTAGACTGCTTCTCTGCTGTCATTCATAACATTGTCTGCCCTTATGAAACAGTTCATAGCCAAACTGTTTTCTTACAAGTACAGAGAATCATTCATTTCTATTAATAAAAAAATTGAATCCGAACCAATGTCTCTTTCTCTAATAAAAACCCAAGTCAATGCAAGGTTTGACAGAGATTATGAGTCCCAATGGTGGCACCAAATTTCCTACCCCGATTCACTCCTCTCCTAACATTTTTGTAACCAAACCTACTTTTCTGTCAATGTCATTTATTTCGTAATAACTCACTCACTTGTAATTTTAGTGTTTCGGGCCCCTCTTTTCTACTGTTTCGCCAAATGTTTCATTTCGAATGAAGATACACATACAATTGAACATATATTATATTTATACAAATTTTATTATTTTATTATAATTTATTTTATTTTATTTTTTTCAAATATATATATATATATACGTACACTTTAATTTTGTGACTTATCCCTTATGTAAAATGTGAGATATAAATAATGTGTAACAATTTTTTTTTCAAGTCTAAATGAAGTTTTCTTTTTATATAAAGAATAAAATTAGATAGATAAATGATAAATTTTATAAGCACCAAACAAAATTCTCACAAAATCTTCATTAAAGTTTAATGGAGTAGTTGAGCTCATGTGAGGGCTTAATAATGGCGGAACCAAGAAAATTTAATGAGAAAAGAAATAAAATTCACATTAACTTAAACATGTTCAATACGTTATCAAATTTGAAAAACTGAAATAATATAGAGGAAAGCTCAAACGCTGAACTTGAAAGGAGGCAACTTATATTATATTACCTTTCTTTTAAGTAGGCAAATATTTGCATAGACTTGAGCGGGCGATCACCCCTCCTATCCCCTCCTGGACTCATTTGTTGGGTTTAGAAAAGGTTCCTTAGGTGAATTGTAAGTTTTCATCTAGATATATACATAAAGTAAGATAAAGGTGGAGCGAAAGTATGTGTTCGATTCTCTCCATTATCGTTTTTATGAGGGGTTTGAAATCTTAATCACGAGACTCGTCCCGAATTAGATCAATTATGAAGCAATGAATCGATTGGAATCTTTAAAAATAAAAGTGAGGGTCTCATTATCGCACGTACTTAGGACACATGTTAAAGAATAAAAAACATTAAATACCTTAAAATTCTAAAATATATTTAATACTTTATTCTTTAAGTAATTAGAATAAGAAATAAATACTATTTTAAACCTTAACATATATATATTAAAAACTCGTAAAGGAATTGCGCAAAGAATTTTAAGTATGATACAATTATTTTTTATTAATTGAATAAAATGTTACGACGAATATGTTAAATATTTATATACATGATAGATAGTATATTAATATTTTGCTGCATGAGTGAATACACAAAGGTAGTCATCTATTCCCTATACTTCTGACTTGCCCTGAGAAAGAAAATAATGTAGGCCATTTCCAATTAATGTAATATTCAAAATATATGACAGTTGAGCTGAGCCATAGATACTGACTGATGATAGAAATTTAGGGGACTATTACTGGTCACTGTGGCTTACTCTACTGAAAGGCAACATATGAACTAGCTGTTTATGGACCATATAGCAGAGTTTTACACTTTTCCATGCTCATTAGTTAAATTGTTGATTTTTTTTACATACCAATTCGTATATAAAGTCTTAATAAATTTGACTAATTTAATTTTGGGTTTATGTCTCTCCACATTCGGTATTTTTCAAATGTCCAGGAACCTTAGTGAGAATAAAATAGAAAAAAGAAAGTGGGTTCGAAATTGGAAATTGGTAAATCAAGTCAATACACTCAATATGTCCTGTTTATACCTTATTATATACAATATCAACTTTTGAATATCTATTTATTAATACAGAAAGGCATATATTGCATTGATGGGTACAGCCTGTTAAAATCAACCATAGCTTTTTTTAAGCGTGTCCTATTATGCATATTGATGTCCTTTCCTAGGGTATGTCTCTATCAGCTCCAATAAATGTGGGGGTGTTGGAGATTTCACTTTCAAGTGATTGATATTATATTCAAGTGGAATTTCCTAATTTTTGTTGAAGGAGACTGAGATGCAACAATTGTAAATGATCTTTCTAAGTTGTAAACTTCTTTAGACATAGCAAAGAAAATGGTGTATAACTGCTATAATTAGATTTCCATATATAAGTGACATTTGTACACACAATTCAGCTTAATCTTTTGATCAACAAGAAACAAGGCCCAGGATTGGAGAGAGAGGATTTGTTAGACATGCTTAACTGAATTTTAGTCATGTGCTCTTAAGCTTTTGCAGAAAAATTCAGACATATTTATTACATGGAGAAGAAGTAAATACTATGAGTAAATGCACCCTGCAACACATCAACTAACCACATACTCTTCCCACCTGCTAATATTTACTTCAGTCTGTGAACCATTTTTATATCCCCTGCTAGCTCCCTACTCCAAAGCACTTCAAAATCCTGCTCTAACCTTCTTTCTTTCTTCTATCTCTTAGTGTTCTAACCAGCTAGACATAATGGAGAAGAAAAGAAATCATGTCTCTCTTACCATGTTTGCAATGCTCATTGGATTGCTTTCTCAGAACCTTGTAATACCTGTAATATCCACCACTGTTGAAGACCAGAAGAACTACTATTCTCCAGATCCACATGCAGGAACTCCTCCCACAGGTTTCTCTAATTCTCTGTGTAATCCTCTAACTGAAGTATCTACATTTGTCCAATATTTATGCAAAGCATAAATAGTATTGCTATCTACATTTGAATCAAGCAATAGCTAATTAATGACTTTGGTCTTTTCCTTTCTCATGTGATAACATACATTGTCTTCACTTATTGCAGGCTCACACAGTAGTCCTCCATCTCATGGCCATGGAAGCACCCCACCCTCACATGGAGGTGGTGGAAGCTATAATCCAACCCCATCAACACCCCCAGGTGGCAACTGTGGATCACCCCCACATGATCCTCCCACTCCAACACCCTCAACCCCTTCAACACCTTCAACACCCTCAACCCCTTCAACACCTTCAAACCCTCCTTCAGGTGGTGGATACTATAACTCCCCACCATCTTATGGAAGTGGTAGCCCCCCAACACCAATCACTGTTAGCCCACCAACCACCCCAATTGACCCTGGCACCCCCAATATCCCTTCACCCCCTTTCCTTCCTTCCCCATCTCCCTTCACTGGCACATGCAAGTAAGTTACTTTCACAACAAGTACATCGTTACCTACTATACAATATATACTAATCTATTAGTTTATATTTATAAATTTTTTGTTTACAAACTCTTACAAATTACACTAAGTATGACTGGTTATACTTCAATCAAGAATGTATGACCGGTCATATTTAGTGTAATTTATAAAAAAAGTTTGTAAATGGATCTTTTCCCATAAAATATAAAGTAAACTACTATATATTATTTTACCACACTGTTATACAACTTTAATGGGATGAGCGTAGATCAGTAGTAAAACTGTTCTTTTGTGACAGAATGATTATAGATTTGAATCTATGAATTTTTCTCACCCTTAATGGGGAGTGGTTTTTTGTTATAATATAACCTAATGAATCAATTCTTTTAATCTTCAGCTACTGGAGGACTCATCCAGGAATCATATGGGGATTGCTTGGGTGGTGGGGAACCTTAGGGAGTGCATTTGGTGCGACTAATGTTCCCGGGTTCAATTCTGGTGTCACCTTGCCACAAGCACTTTCCAACACAAGAACTGATGGGCTAGGAGCACTATACAGAGAAGGTACAGCTTCTTTTCTCAACTCCTTGGTGAATAACAAGTTCCCTTACACAACCAACCAAGTCAGGGACAGATTTGTGGCATCACTTAACTCAAACAAGGCTGCAACAACACAAGCTCACCTCTTCAAGATGGCCAACGAAGGGAAAATGAAGCCTAGAGCTTGAAATGGATTAGTTTATTTAGTGTGTCAAATTATGGAGTTAAGAACTTAATATGTAAGAAGATTTCTGCTAGTTTGTGACATTTATGGCTATGATATGTTTTAATTTATCTTGTTATTGGTATCATGTTTTGTTTCCAATTTAATGCAAGCTTTATGGTTTTAGTTTTAAATAAAGTTCATTTGTTGTTAGAATTGATTGTACAAGACCTTCATTCAAAAGAGTTAAAGAGAAATCCCCACAAAGCAGAGTCAAAATGAATTGATTTTGCCAGACAGAGTAATATTGAAGTAACACGGTCTAAAAGTGTGGATTGGGCTTACTACATAAGCTTGGTTGGTGGGTCTTGCAGACAAGCAAGGACCCCACCATTAAATGTCGAAATTGGGTAGTATTGTTTCCTAGTGAAAATACATGGTTTAGTTGTCTATATATATGCATGTGTAAAGACAAACATAGAGGGCTATATGCTAGAGGGTTAACCATTACTTGAAAAGGAACAGCTAAGCAGCCATAGGAGATACAGTTAGTGCCAGTTTAATTGCTTTGAAAAGAAACCGTACAAGACTGTGGTTTGGCCCAGGGTCATTTACCACAGGAGCTAATCCCCGTACATTCTACTAAACTCAATTTTTTTTAGAGTAAATATCATTTTTGGTCCTCAGCAAATTTCATGATACTCGTTTTAGTCCCTAGCAAATAAAAAGGCCTATCGTGGTCTCTAAGAAATTCAAAATAGACTCATTTAGTTGAAATTGTGGTCCTCACAAATTCAAAAAAGACCCATATTAGTCCTTAAAAGGACTAAAATGGGTCCATTTTAAATTTCTTAGGGACCACGATGAGCCTTTTTATTTTCTAGAGACTAAAACGGGTATTGTGAAATTTGCTGAGGACAAAAAAAACATATTTACTCTCTTTTTTTAAAATAAGGCACAACCACTACCTTAGAAGATTTTTATTTTTATTTTTATATTGATTGATTTCTTGATTAATTCAATTGGACTGAATAGGGTTATAAGAGCAATAAATCTTTCTATAATAAATTTTTAAATTTGAACTCGAAATCACTTATTAAACTGCAACAATAATTGAACTAGTACAACATTCTAATTTTAAAAAATACACAAAATTTCTCATATTTTATAAATTTTAGAAATATCTACAATGACCATAGCCTATAAGTAAATGAATTAAAGTCACCTTTGATGAAAAATGAGTTAAAAATGATAGTTAAGAAAAAAATGTTGAATGGCAAAATTACTCAAAAGGTAAAAGTAAAAATAGAAACATGATTAGAAAAATATTTTAGTCCATTAGGTAAAGTTTGGTAATGAATAGAGGTGACTAGATAGATAAGCATTTACCTAGTTGAATTTCACTTAATCTATGTAAGTGAAAAGCGTCAAAACTTCTTATTTCTTCTTCATCTTCCAACAGAATTGACAGAGGGAGAAAAAAAAAGATTTTGAGTGAAATCTTCCAAAATACATATAGAGATCTCCAAATCACTTCATTCCAAAGCCAAATTTGTAAGAAATTTTGAGAGAAACATATTGGTACCCATATTTTCATGTGGGGTTCATTGTAGAAAGAGTTCTTCTTCCCCTAAGATTTCGGGTTTCATAAAAAATATGAATTTTGATGGAGCTTAAGGCCATGGGAGCTTGAAGTAAGCTTTACCCTTCATTCTTGGGTACATTGTGGTAAGGAATCACCTTTCTTTTCTTGTTTTCATTTAAGAATTCTAGATTTTGTGATGAATAGTGCACGAAAATGTGAGGATTTTATGGATTGTGATGGTTTGTGGTATATTCATGTTGTAGAGTTGATCCCAACATTGTTTTGGTAGTTAGCGAGTGATGTGGATATAGCTTCCTTTGTTAAATATGCTTAGGATTGCTTATTGATGAAAGACAAAAAAAGAAATCACCATTTAGCTCATTATAGGAATCACCAGTTGTGCCAGCTGTCTTTTTGGGAGGAAGATTTTTTGAATTCTTTTTCCTCTGAACGACCATCCATGGGCCTACTCCCTGACTTGCTACAGGTTTGTCAACTTATGCTATGTTGACCTCTTGTGTGTTATTATTCTCCACTGGTTTTGCATAGTCAGGGCATATTTCAGCGTTGTGGCCATATTTACCACACTAGAGACATATCATGTAGAGACCCTCATATTCAACTTTGAGGACTTCATCTTTTAGGATATACTCTCCTCTCAATGGTTTGGAGAGATCGAGGTCTATGCATACCCTAGCAAACTTGTCTCTATCACTTGTAGAGGTAGTTTTATCAACCTTTAGGACTTTCCCAACTATGTTTCCTAGATGTTTCAGAAAAGGCATTTCACAGAACTCTTGGGGAATACCTGGTAATCGAATCCAGGCGGTGACTCTGTGGATATTGGCTTTTGAGGGTTGAAGCATGGCTCCCATTTCCTTATAGCGAGGTAGTGACCCATCAGCACCCAAGGGCCTCCTGTTAATGCCAAATTGAGGTCTTCCAGATTTGAAAATTTTACAGAGAAGAAATCGTTACCCACATCTGCTACTACAATGGAGCATGACTTGACCACAGATTCTCATGTTTGCTATTCATATACAGAACACCCACCTTTTTCCCTAGGAGTTTAACTATGATAGCATTCCTCCAAGGACTTATCATCCTCTGCTTTGCTTCTTTGGAACATCTTATTCTGACGGAACCATCTGCTTCATAAATGGTCTGGAATCCTCATTCAGAGATGTCACCCTTATCAGGATCTAGAGGCTCGTTTGACTCCATTAAGTTATCTTCTTGCCAAGCACTATCGTCCCCATGGGACTATCTTCCGATCTAAGTGCATTAGCGAAGGTCCTTTGTTTTCCAGGCGTTGAGTGGTCCAGACATTTGCCCAAATCTGCTCCTCTATTTGGGGAGATCAAGGAGAATTATTCCCCGTGTGTAGATCTTTTGATACTTTTGCGTGAGTTTTGTAAATTATCTGGTGGATTCAGAGAATATTTCAACGGTCTACCATGAGTATCGTTGGAGGAATTCATCTTATTTTCCCTAGCAGAGAGAATATATTCGCATGTGTGAGATGCATGTGTCTAACCCATTTTTTAATGATTCTTCTTTTTCCTTTACAATTTGTTAAAAAAAAAGTGGGAAAAAGGGAAAAAAAATTGAGAAACTTTAAATAGAATATAAAAGGAATTGAAAAATAGTATGTGGGGGAATTAATTGAGGTACATAATAACATCTCTGATCTAAAAAGACCAATATGCTTAGAATAGGCGAGTTTTGAAATATCACTACGTTTCATAGCACCATGAAAGGTTTTGAATCTTTTGATGGAACTCATTTATCAATATCTATAGATAAATAATTTCTTTTTTTTATAAAGAATTTTTAGATAAAAATATATATTTGATAATACACACATTCTAAGATGTGTCTGTTTAATAAATAGAGAGATTTTTTTTCTAATTTTTTAATTATGATAATACAGTATACAATATATGTATTTAAGAAATAATGAGCACGGAATAAATAAATAAATAAAAAGTTTTTTATTTTATTTTTTTTACAATTTCTGTTCTTTAGTTATTGGTTTATTTTCTGGAATAGAAAAATTAAGTTGAATTTATTAAGCATAAATTCTAATCATTTTTATTTTATACATTAAAAATTGAAAAAAAAATAGAAACGTTATGATACATATCCTAAGTGAGTTAGAAATGACGATATGATGTGCTTTAATAAAGGTAAAAATTTGAGTTGGTGGGTCATGTTTGAATTCCCACAAATATCTTCGACACGAACATGACAGATATTTAATAAATAGAGAGATTTTTTTTCTAATTTTTTAATTATGATAATACAGTATACAATATATGTATTTAAGAAATAATGTGCACGAGAATGATAAATAAATAAAAAGTTTTTATTTTATTTTTTTTACAATTTCTGTTCTTTAGTTATTGGTTTATTTTCTGGAATAGAAAATTAAGTTGAATTTATTAAGCATAAATTCTAATCATTTTTATTTTATACATTAAAAATTGAAAAAAAAATAGAAACGTTATGATACATATCCTAAGTGAGTTAGAAATGACGATATGATCTGTTTTAATAAAGGTAAAAATTTGAGTTGGTGGGTCATGTTTGAATTCACACAAATATCTTCGACACGAACATGACAGATATTTATTTGTATCAAAACTCTCTATATTAATATGACTTATTTACCATACACTACATGACGATAGAACACAATACGAATAACTAATTATTTTACTTTTCAAATAAAAATAATTTAGATAACTTCAAATTAATAAATAAAAGTGGATAAATGAGACAAATATGTAATTATATAATTATTTATTTTAAACAGTGCACACCAACATGAATCCTCATGAATGCAAATAAGGATTGAGACAAACACAAAAAGTTAGCAGCATATTTGAGTGTTGAAAATTGACACTCCTAATTTTAAACGTTTTCCTTGTCCTCTTTTTCCTTCTTTTTTTTATTTTCGATTCAAATAGAAGGATTAATTATGTACGAGAAAAATAGAAACTTTAGACCAGCTAAACTGTTATGCATAGACAGGATACTAAATCTTGTAATAACAAAAAGTGGCACAGAAAGAGGCAGATAAACTAAAAAAATCTTAAAATTTTCTTGTTACATATTTAAATTTAAGACAAAATTGACATTTCTTGCAACAAGGTACCAGCCCGACTCGCAGCGCTATTACGACGCAATTAACTACTATGTTTCTACTCAAATATTTAATAAAAGTATTGCTAAAATAAAGCTGAAACATCCATTGATTGACCAATTGTAGCAATTAATAACAATTAAGATAACAATTGCTTTGCATGGTAGAGAAAGAGGGAATAACTTATTGTCAACACCTAATTTATCAACAGCAGCCACAAAACACCACCGATGTAGCTCGACCATCCACACAGCTCGAGGCTTCTTTTGATTTGATGGGTCCTCTTTGTTATGACCTTTCTTAGGCTCTTCATAATCTTCATCATGATCTTCTTCCTCATTACATGCTACCATATATTTTGGAGCTCTTCAATTCTAAGAGTTTTACCAAATAATCACAAGCTCCCAGACTCATTCCTTTCATCACCAACTTTCCATGCTATCTCCAGATAACACTGAGATAAAAAATTAAATAATGTTAAAAAGATCATCAAGCAACAAAATGAAGCCCCAATACATAATACCTCGAGAAAATATTTTTAATTTATACAGAAAGAAGACCATAAAATCAAAACTCAAAATTTTAAAAAATAATAAAAGAACGGTTGAAGATTACATATAAAACTATCACAAACATATAATAGGTATGTCCATCCAAAGTCGACCGAGCTAAGTCCATCCATTTCAGGCATGTGGAGATCATGTCAAACTTGTTTTCTCTCAACAACCTTATAGCCGTCATTGCCTTTATAGTCGTGGTTACTGCAAAATAAATAATTACAATAAATTTTATTCTTTATGAACAAAATGAAATATTGCAAATACAAGCATAATACAAAACCTATAAAAAGATCATTAAATGATTTCCAATCATAGGAAGCTAGTAACATCCTGCATTTGAAGCCAGTAATTTAATTGAACACAACGTTTCACAAACAATATCAAAGAAAGATAAAAAGTTAAAAAAAAAATATGGATTAAGAGTAACATTGACAGGACATAATGTAAACAAATAAGATATTTGACGGGAAAATGACTCAACTTCATTGATATTTCACACAAATATATACAACTGTGTAACAAAGAAATCAATAAAAGATTTGTTACTTTAAAAACCAAACAGAAGAAAGTAAAAGAATCAACTTGACAAATTTAAATTTATGGAGAAAATGGAAAAAAAAGAATATGTTTTTATTCCAATAATAATACATCTAGACCAAAAGAAACAAAAACACCCAATGGAAAAGCCACATCCTCATTATTTTCAATTTTTCACCAAACTAAGAAAGAAAAGAAAAGAAAAGTAAAGCACAACGGAAGGTACAGATCGTGGTAACACAATTTTTCAGGAACAACGTCAGAGAATTAAGAAAAAAATTATAAATAATTCAATTGACTAATATTAGCACTGAGTAGATATAATGTAGAAAAAAATTATTTGACGGGAAAATGATTAAACTTCAGTGATAATAATTTCACACAAATATATACAGGAGTATACAACTGAGTTGAAGAAATAAATAAAAGATTTTTTTACATCAAAAATCAAACTGAAAAAAGCTGACAGAAAGAACTAGACATAAAAGAAAAAACATCTGTTATTATTCCAATTGAAAACCCACATCTAAATATTGCTAAAACAACAATGAAAGAAAGAAAGAAACATAGATATACAGGATTAATGGATTATATATATTTCTCGAACTTAAAGAAATAAATATTCTATGTTAGTTTTTTTACATGAAACACCAACTAAAAAAACTAAAAAATTCAAATTTATATATGTATGTAAAAAACAAACAAACTGAATCTGTTATTATACCAATAATATGTCTAGGCCAACAGAAAAACACAATAAAAAACCCATAGTCAATATTGCCAAAAAAATATAGAAATCAAAAAACATTTTTAATTAGGTTTTTAGACCGAAAGAAACATCAGCATACCATCGAAAAGTCACATCCTCAACATTTTCAGAAAAATAGAAAAGATAAAAAGAAAAGAAAGAGAACAAGTAATGTACCATGGTATTGACACCTTCAGTGTTGTCTGGAAAGAGTGACAGAATGCTGGTGATGAAAGCAATTAAATTGGGAGCTTTATATTATTTGGTAAAACCTGTTAGAATGGAAGAGCTCCAAAACATCTCACAGCATGTAATGAGAAAGAAGATTAAGACGCAGGAGGAAGAATATCAGGATGAAGATTATGAAGAGCCTGAGAAAGTTCTTAACCAAGAGGACCCATCAACCCAAAAGAAGCCTCGGTTTGTTTGGACGGACGAGCTGCATCGAAGCTTTGTGGCTGCTGTTAATCAATTAAGTGTTGACAGTAAGTTATTCACTCTCTCTACAATGCAAAATAATTGTTATCTTAATATTGTTATTAATTGCTACAAAAGGTCAATGAATTGATGTTTCTACTTTCTTTTAGCAATATTTTATTAAGTTACTGAATTGTGTTATTTTGATTGCAAGAGGCTGTACCTAAAAAAATTATTCAATTCATGAACGTCGAGAACATCTTTTAAACAAGAGTAAAAGAAGAAACTAATAATATTAATAAACATTGGTACTCAATATGCATTACTCATTCTACATAATTTGTTTTTAAAAAAAATTTCCAAGGATGTCAACACTCATTTGGACTAGACTAATCTCTTCCTAGCATAGAGCACATAACGATTTTTACCAGGATGTAATCGAACATATTTGAAAAATAAATCATTCATCTATATATCTCTTGAATTTCACTGTTATTAGTTGGTTACCTTCATTTTATTGTCTCAGGGAATCTGTTACAAGGATGGTCACCCTCTTTTATTATTCCCTTCATCATATCTCATTTTTCACTCATCATCCAAATAAATATTATGTTTAATTTAGCTACTACTAAAATTAATCTTTCTTACTTATTTATATTAGATTCAAATATATTAAAGTTTTATTTATTTAATGTTATATTTACATCAAATAAAAAATTGCTTGTGGATTTAGACCAATTAAGGCTCTAGTGAGGAGCCAAAGAAAGTCTGATTAAAAGAGCAACAAGAAGGCCAAAGAAAGCTTGAGAAGAAACCATTTACAAAGACCTTAATCTAGATGGCTTTAATGAAATTTTGGTTATTGATACCACTGTTTAGAAAAAAATTTAAAAGACGCTTAAGCAGTGAGAGCTAAAAGCAACAGCAAATACCTTTCTGATTGGAGGGGAATTCCTTCAAGATTATTTTAATTCTGCAACTTAGAAAGTGATAGTCTTACTGTGATTCAACCACCTCACACCCATTTAAGAGATTTTCATACAAATGAACCTGTATAAGAGTATACAAGAGTAAATAAGAGCACATCGTTTAAAAGAATAGAGGTCGTGATCAAAATTGAAGAACTATGGGAGTGTAAAGTTCTTATCAAACTACAACACCAATTGGAACGAAACATAAGGTATAACAAGTTTACTAATTCAAGTAATAATGGCTGTGCACATAAGGTATAACAAGTTTACTAATTCAAGTAATAATGGCTTTGTAGCAAAGATACGCCAATATGATGATAGTAATGAAATAGCCATGTCCCATTATCTTTCAAACATATTAAAACAATTGATTTCTTTGTGTTCAACACTTCATGTATTATTGAGTACTCTTCACTATAAAAGCCTCTCAACAGAAGCATAGCGAAATGCAAGCAATTGAATAATAAAGTACAGAGTTTTCAACTCCCATGCATATAAATTCAGAAATGCTCTCATTGGCGAGGCTACTTAATCAGAAACTCAGTCTGTGATTTTATGGACCTTTTGTGATTACTAAAAGAATTGGTCCGGTTGCATATCAATTGAAATTACCTGATTATGCCAAAGTTCATTCTGTTTTCCATGTCTCTCATAGCTAAAAAAGGCTATCAGCTCAGCAGCACTAGTTTCAAATTTTACTAGTTGTTTGGCAGAGGACTACGAGCTTCGAGTGCAGCCTGCAGATATCTTAGATGCCCGTCGTTTACTTAACGGTAAAGTCAAAATTTTAGTCAGCTGGTTCGACCTTCCTATTAACGAAAGTTCATGGGAAGATTTGGAGACTTTTATAGATTTGGGGACAAGGTGAAAGGATGGGGGTAATGTTGAGGCTATCAAACATGTTTACAATAGAAGGGGGGAAGGCCCAACATGGCAGCAAAGGACTGGCCCAGAATTAGAAAGTCTAGTGCAATTTCAAGAAGGTTCAGGGGCTGACCCAAGAGCTGAGGTGGAGAAGGATGACGTGGAAAAGGAGCATAAAGATAGAGGAGATTACAATGAGCGCATGGAAGAAAAAGGGGAAGTTAGTCAGAAGGCGTGGGGAGCGAAAGGTGATGCTGGTGTGGGGGGATTTATAGGGGAAGGCAGCATCCAAATGGGGGAGGATTGGATAATGAATTAGTTGGGGAATGTAGGGGATCCATTGGGGACCTCTTGGGAGCTTTTTTCTTCTCTTTTCGGTGTCAAATACAAAGTGTCTCTTGCCGTTGTTTAATTTTCTCCATTGTAAAGAGCAGTGCTCTGTTATTCTATCAATACATATTATAGAAGGTTTCTTTAATTTTCTGTGTTTTATCAATTTCGATTTATCTGTTCCAACAAAGACAAACTAATTGTTATAAAAAAAAAACATCAAGGACAATGTGATATGCATAAAAATCTTGTTTCACAGCAAGCAAGCAAGCAATAATAATAACAATAATTCACAATAATAGCAATGGCAAGGCAATCACATGCATATCACCCAAAACTTTTGAAGAAAAAAAAAGTAAGGAAAGAAAGAAAATCCATAGATGCTAAAAAAAGAAGTGAAAAGTTGATACTTGAAATAAGAAAATCTTCGTCCTCAACCATGAGTCAAAAGAGAAAGAATCAGAGAGAAAGCTAAAGAAAAACTAAGCATTATTCAGAGAAAAACTGAAGCTGAATTCATTGATTACAGATCTGAGTAGAGACCTAACTTATATAGACGATACAATGAGATCTGAACAGAATCTAACTACCTGACTCGAACTGACTGAACTGAAACTGAGCTTCTAAGATTCAGTTATAACAAACTTAACACTACAAACACAAGAGTCCAAATACAATGAATGAACCATAGAGTACAAATACATGACACGTACAATATTAATGAGGATTTAAGAAAAAATAAAGGTATGGAAGGGAAGTTACCTTATCCTCAGCAGCAAGTAAAGGAAGATGGAGAAGAATCTCAAGAGGCTCAGTGTCGGCTGCAATCACAACGACCTCCGAAATGCCTCTCTTCAGTGTCTTGGTCGCTGAAACAAAAACTAAAATGGTAAATAAAACGCAATAACACTTAAAATGGTACAACTAATAAAATAAAACCTCTTTTAATCAGAGGCAAAGTAATAATAATACCATCATTAGCACCTTTTTGAGCTGCTTGTAGTTGTGAGTTGTGCATCGGCCAAAGGCAACCATTTTTTGTTGGGGAGTCGTTGATTGAAAGAAAGAAAGAAAGCATGAAGAAAACTTGAAGAACATTCAAGTCAGATTCAATGAATCTTTTAGAGGGAAGAGATGATAACGAAAAGGTAACCATTTTTTGTTGGGGAGTGGTTGATTTGATTGAACGGTGAGAAGAGAAGCGGCTAGGGTTTTTCGTGGAGAAAAAGAGAGAGGAATGAGTGATAGTGCAATACAAAAAATGGGTTTTAAAGAGACTGGATCTGCAAACATTGCTTTTATGGGTTATGCATTGCAGGGCCACACTACACTACATTATGATTCATTCTTGAAAAGCAATGGTTATTTTGAGACAGTTTTGTTTTGGGCCCAATCCAATCCATCTTTGTTTGTCATCGAGGAGGGATTTCTGAATTCTAAAGAAATGTTAATAAAATTGCTAATATATCTATATCTATATCTATACTACCGTAGAAGGGGATTCCATACTTTAGCGTGCAATTTTTATCATTTCAAATTCATCTTTGTTAATTATTGACTTAATTATGTACCAAAAAAATGATTGATTTAATTATTTAAAACAAACATTACAAATATACAACTTTAAATACATCTTAAAAGGATAAAATATAATCACTTAATGTTTACCCGAAAAAAAAAATATAATCACTTAAGAAACTGATTAATAATAATATTATTAAAAAATAGAATTAGCAAACACATAATACTGAACAATATGCTGAATAATGTGTGTGTACACACACAAAATTATAAAGGAAATCTCATGCTTTGGTTTTTATTTTTTTATTTTTCAAAATTATTATTATTAACTACTTATTGAAAGAATGAAATTATAGAACAGTTTCAGCCCTAAAAAAAAGCCTATTTAGAAAGTATGTTGTAGATTTTTGTTTACATGTCAGGCTTATAAGTCTACAGGCTGGCTTATTTTATATTATTTATTTTAAATTAAATAAATAAATTATTATTTTAATGGTTTTGAATAATAAGGTTATATTATTTTTAATTATTGAATGTCTTATCGACTTAAACATGCTAACAAGTTTATGCCAAGGCTTTTGTTTTTTAAATATAGGTCATGCTAAATTTATAATTTGGGCCTACACAAGATAACGTATTCGGCCAGGCCTAAAGTATTTTATACATGTCTGACCTATTTGAGCTAGAACCTACCTCTGTCCAGCCTATTTACACCCCTACTTTTAACAATGATTTTTCGTCGTTCATTGAATGTGAGTACTAAAAGCATGCTTTTAACATGGGCTAATTTATATATAAAGTAGAGCCATCAAAACAACCTATCTCATCCCTTTAGGCCCTAACCCACACAAGCTAAGGTAAAAAATCCTGCAAATAAAAAAGGTCGCATGGGCCAAAATCTATATAATCCCACGGGATAAGGCCAATCCACAAACCAAAATTTCATATAAATCAATCATTTTTCATTAATTAAAATTATGACAGTAGCAAACAGGCATCACCAAAACCTTATTTGAAATTCCCATCTGTAATCCATCTTCCACTCCTAATTTCTACTCTCCATAATCAACTATAGTGGAAAGAACAATAAATCTTTACGTAATCCTCCAAAACAAGCAATCAATGAGATAAAATAAACCATGTTGCCATATAATTGAATAGGAATTAGTTTCTTCGCGTAAACTATTCCCAAATTACAAACTCATAAAAACGTCTCATCCATTTTTTTTTCCTTTAATATAGTGAGTGCCACATATTTAATGAGTCTGCAAGAGAGGAATAATTTATTCTGTAACAACAGGAGAAACTAGGAAAACCATTGCCATTTGTTCATTCCTTACTTTAACATAAATTCGTTACATTAATTATGTATTTGCTACTCCAGGAGTAATAACCAACAAAATTGCTTTAGGCTTATTTTCAATGGTGTGAGACTCATCATTCTTGCCTTTATTTTATTTAGCCATGTTGATTTCATTAGCAATTTCCATTCAGCTTCTTTCCTTTGTCATCATTTTCTATCATCCCACCATAGCAGAAGGTGGTTGATCCAGTTCGCAATTCAACATATAGCTATGAGAAGGTGCAACTTGCAAGTGGGATAATATTCCCATCTCAAACTCAGTTAGCGGAAACCTCACTTATTGATCCGTAAAGTGAGTCTTGTATACCATGAACCGCCATCAAGATTTCGCTGCATTGCTAGGCGTGTCACAAGCCCGACGATCACTACTGACCGCGAATGGCTGCCACATCGCCTCATATGCACCATTTTCAGTAATAGTGAAGCTAGGCTCAGATTTGTAGTGGCAACGCAAAATGTCCCGGTCAGCATAACTTAATGACGAAGTAGCTATCTCTGTTTCAACCCAATCCCTCGCCTCGAGGCGATCGTCCGACTGAGCAATCTCCATTAGTCAAGTAACAATCCTACCTGGGAGTAGGGGTGTAAATGGGCCAGGCTGGCCCAGCCCAGCCTACATTGAGCCCAGCTCAGGCCCAGCCTTTCAGAAAAGTAGAGTAGGCTTAGGCTTATAAAAAAAGATTTTTTTAATAAATAGGCCATAGGCCAATTTTGTCAAGCCTGGTCTACAGCCTTGTAGGCTTGCCTATTTAATTTATTAAAATAAATTAATAAAATAATATTTATTTTATGTGGCAAAGACACAAAGTACCAAATACCAATATCTCTTATTTTTTGTGCTATTTTATTTTATGAAAGGAAAACTTGCCTAATGTCTCCAAATTTTACATGTTGTTGCAACTTAATACCATGGAGCAATGAGTACATTGCTGGATTATGATGTTACTGATGAAGATCTTTCAATAATACTCTTCTTTCCCTTGTCTTGATGGTGGTTTAAAGATTTTTAGATGAATGACATTCTCTTATAGACTTTATTTCAGCATTCAGTAATTGTATTTTTCTTATTTTTCCCATTTCTTTGACTCTATTCCTCTATGACATACATTCTAGAAATGAGGTATTATGTTGACTCTTTCTTGTTTGTCATTTTTTCTTATGAGAAGTACTAATGCATGCATGAATGGAACTTTCTTTGCTCTAAACAATTATTTTTTTTGCTTAGTATATTTAGTGGGAGGCCTACAAGGCCTGTAGGCCATGTCAGGCTTTCTTATTTTTGAAAATGGGTCGGGCTTGGCCTACAAATAAAGCCTTTAATAGGCCAGTAGGCCAGATAGGCTGAATTTTTTTTGACGTAGGCTTGGGCCAGGATGGCCAAAGCCCAGCCCAACCCATTTACACCCCTACCTGGAAGCGATAAACACACAATCAATCTTCAATACTTCACCAACGCCAAGAAGACCACTGCGAAGAGAAATGAGGTCCCACCTCGCCCTATTCCTCACTCTTGTGATCGCCAACACCCTCCTTACCAACTACTACAAGAAAAAAATAACTCAAGCACAAACTACTTACCATCAGAATCAGAAGTTTCTGAAGAGCTTGAAGAATAAAAATCTGAGTAGCTTAAAGAAGAAGGCCACCAAGCAGGCGGTATCTTATAAAGCCCCAGGTCTTCATATATGGCGTCCCACACACCATACTTTACAAGACGTCCATCTTCCGGATGAAATCTACCTAGCCGGTTCTCTGCGGACTCATCATATTTACGGCGATGGAAAGACTGAGAAATATGGGGTATATGGCCCCGCGAAGTGCTCAAAGCAACAGGGGAGTCAACAGTCGGGTGGGAAGGCTTATAGTAATACTCTATAGGACGATTTTGTGGAAGACGGTTAACAGAAGACAAAGGCCGAACAAGTCACCCGGCTCCTAGGGCAGAGCGCCGTGAAACATGGCGATAAGGACCTCTCTTTCATCCAGTTGAACGAACAGAAGATCTGGAACCACGACGATGTGAAGGGCGAGCCCTAACCCCCTCACTGGAACCCCTTGACCGTCGTCCTCCAGATCTGGCAGGCTGACGCCTCCTAGACCCGGAAGCGGTCTCATCCCATGATGAAAGGCGCTCACCACGCGGTCGAGAACCAGATGCTTCACCCAAGTAGGAAAGCATAGGCCCTACAGCCCGTTCAGGCAAGAGACTCTAAATCTCCTTTTCAGAAAAACCTAGAAGTTCTGGAATTCTACCATGGGGCAATGACTCCACCTCAGGGACTAAGGAACGATATGAGGGAAAGCTGTTGCTTCCCCCACGCCTAGCAAGATAGTCCTGCATAGCTGGCCCCATTGTACAGCCTTCGACGGAGTCAAAGGCTTCATCAAACTCTTCCTCCTTAACCTCAACCCCCAACTCAGGCAAAACCAACCCAGGAACGTCCATGACTTTTACCGTGCCCAGGAAAAGAAGAGGAAAAGCTATACAAAGAAGAACAAGGAATATCAAAGGAGAAAGAGTGAGACACTATACCTGAGAGATATGCAGACAGTGAAGAAAGAAGGACCAGCTCGAACACTATGGTAAGAAGGAAGAAGCACAATGTAATGGTAGCAACAGGAAGAGCAGTAATCAGCGTGAAGAAGAGCCTCAAAAGAGAACAAGTTCCCCTTTTAAAGAAGAAATGAGTGCAAGGTGGCACTCACGTATACTGCCTCTTGATATTCCGATCGTTAGATGTCATAACTGTCATGGACGGGCGGTTATGATGAGAGGCTTGATGGTAATTTCAAGGGGATAAGACACCAATCACGTCGCATTAATGCGTCGTGCCTCGAAACAAAGCAATTGCTTGCAATGATGAAGAATCCATCATTGTAACTTGCACGAAACCCAAAGAGACACCCTTCGTGTCAGAAGGACGAAAGACCTGAAGTACCCCTGGAAGAGCGAAGGACAAAACTGTTGCTCTCCCCGCACCAGTCAAGAGACGCCTAAAATCCCTAAGTGGGCGACACCAACCAGAGAACGCCCAGGAGTTACTATAAGCGTACAAACACAAGTCTACAACTATATTTAAGTGGCGATACCACCTATATATCGCCCAACAAAGACTACCAATCACGAAGACTGCCCGAAAGGTAACGCCCAAGGATTATAACTTGGCACCATCCTACGCATGCTACCAAGCTGGGGGGGCTCCTGTTCTGGATGGCCCAAACGCTGAAGCGGCCCAGCTGTTTAGGCCCAATCCTTAGCCCCAACCCGCGTCATCCCTAAGGACCCGCACATCCTCCAACCCTGCAGCACGTCCAAGGGATACACCGAAATGTCCCATCTTGGGACGCAAACCACCAAAGGCAACCGCCACAGGCACCACAAAGGGAAACTGCCCATTTGCCCAGTGCTGACAGTGCCAGATGCAAAAGGTGCAGCGCTGCCACAATGGCAGCGCCAACCACGCCCAACACTACCATCATGGGAGTATATCCCAAGGAGGGTTGACCCCTTCCTCACCAACCCACACCATCTTCCTTATAAATAGCCCTCATGGGCACAGCTTAAGGGCTATCTTATGTATCGTTATTATGCCCATTTCTATTAAGTCACATATTTAGCCATCTTTCCTCCATTGTTATTAACTTGTTATACTTGGAAACATACCATCTAGCCTGGTCTTTACCTAAGCTAGTGGTACCATCCATATAGTGACAACCCCCTCCAAAGGGAATATAGTGGGCTTATAGATTCCAACAGTACACTCTTATAACTATAATGCTTTGACTTAGTGTTGAGCTCTTGATAATTCAAAGATAGTAAATTATCTGCTATTTTTTTCTTTATGGCTTCTGCAGCGTGGAAATCAGAAGTTCTCCAAATATGCCATTGCAATAATTGTTGTCGTGTAGTTCAGTGTTGCTGTTTGTTTTTTCATAGCATTACCTAGCCAGTCTTGGCTTTGGCTAATCTCCATCTTCAAGCAAGTTTCACTCTTATTATGACTCAAATTTTTTCAATCTATCCAGAAGGTTTTAAATGTTAATTAAGCTCTTCGGATTATGATACAGATTACTAAAATGGATGTGATTAGTATGTCTGTACTCTTTCACTTACTAAAATTCTTGTGTTGTATCCACTACCATGTGGATCAACTGGCATTGGTTGTTCTAGGTTAACAAATGGTCTCAAATTCGAGCTTTGAGTATGCAGCTGTATTAAAAATTTGGTAGGGAAAGTTTTGCTACCCTTGTGATTCTGCCGTGCTTGAATTTTGATTAATTGAGCTTGTTGGTGACTGGATATTGGATGATTTATGAAAAAAAAATCTTTTGATGAATTACATCATATGCATCTGAGTGTAGGGGTAAGTAAGATGACTAGTGAACTAAGATAAATTAATTATGGTCATGCTCTAACATGGCATAAAGAAATCATGTAGAACTAAAAAAGTTAAGATTATAGTTAAATATTGCACAGTTTCTTCAGGTATCTTTAATCAGTGATCTCACTTCAAAGTTTGAATCCATTGCCTTGGAGTATATCCCAAGGAGGGTTGACCCCCTCCTCACCATCCCACACCATCTTTCTTATAAATAGCCCTCATGGGCACAGCTTAAGGGCTATCTTATGTATCGTTATTATGCCCATTTCTATTAAGTCACATATTTAGCCATCATTCCTCCATTGTTATTAACTTGTTATACTTGGAATCATACCATCTAGCCTGGTCTTTACCTAAGCTAGTGGTACCATCCATATAGTGACAACCACCTCCAAAGGGAACATAGTGGGCTTATAGATTCCAACGGTACACTCTTATAACTATAATGCTTTGACTTAGTGTTAAGCTCTTCATAATTCAAAGATAGTAAATTATCTGCTGTTTTTTTCTTCATGGCTTCTGCAGCGTGGAAATCAGAAGTTCTCCAAATATGCCATTGCAATAATTGCTGTCGTGTGGTTCAGTACTGCTGTTTGTTTTTTCATAGCATTACGTAGCCAGTCTTGGCTTTGGCTAATCTCCATCTTCAAGCAAGTTTCACTCTTATTATGACTCAAATTTTTTCAATCTATCCAGAAGGTTTTAAATGTTAATTAAGCTCTTCGGATTATGATACAGATTACTAAAATGGCTGTGATTAGTATGTTTGTACTCTTTCACTTACTAAAATTTTTGTGTTGTATCCACTACCATGTGGATCAACTGGCATTGGTTGTTCTAGGTTAACCAGCGGTCTCAAATTCGAGCTTTGAGTATGCAGCTGCATTAAAAATTTGGTAGGGAAAGTTTTGCTACCCTTGTGATTCTGCCGTGCTTGAATTTTGATTAATTGAGCTTGTTAGTGACTGGATATTGGATGATTTATAAAAAAAAAATAAAAAAAATCTTTTGATGAATTACATCATATGCATCTGAGTGTAGGGGTAAGTAAGATGACTAGTGAACTAAGATAAATTAATTATGGTCATGCTCTAACATGGCATAAAGAAATCATGCAGAACTAAAAAAGTTGAGATTATGGTTAAATATTGCACAGTTTCTTCAGGTATCTTTAATCAGTGATCTCACTTTAAAGTTTGAATCCATTGCCTTATGTTCATAGTGTCTTTGTTTATGGATTATATATCATTGAGGTTTAGTTCCCAATGTTGATAATGTAAATTGATGTAGGGATGTAGTTAGGAAAAGTTTCTGTCAATTCAGTGTAACATTGCAAAATATCAGCCTCTTCAAGGGTCTTTCAAGGAAATGTTGATATTCTTCTGTTTCTTTTTATTTTTTATTTTGTTATTTTAATGTAATTGTTAATTTTATAGTTGTCTTATGAGCTGTGATATGATTAGATTTTCATCTAAAATTTTGTGGAAATTAATTATATTGCAGCTCAATTCAAGTATGTATGACAGTCATCAAATATTTCCCCCAGGTCAGAATGTTTAACCCTACATATTATGTTATTTATGATCATCTAGAAATTTGGCTAGAGTTGCTTCTCAATTTCTTACTCTTGTTTCATTGGTAATGGACAGATAAATTTATTTGTGTTTTCCTTATATTCATCTTGTTAACTTCATACAATTTTTGAACAAGGAAAATGATATTTACTTGATTAGCCATCAATATTTTGTTGCTAAGTTATTGCTATTTGGTTATGAAATATAGGCATTCATGAACTTCTTGAGAAAGAGCACTGATGGATTTAGCATTGGGGGTGTTCTCCTTGATTTTTCTGGAGGGGTCTTTAATTATTCACAAATGGCTGTGCAGTCTATAGATCAAGGTTTGTGATTTGTACAAGCTATAGTGAATTAGTTAGACCTTGCCATCAGATTTTATCCTTGATGTGTGATATGAATTTCAACTTGATCTATATAATCTAGGTTCCTGGGTGAACTTCTATGGGAACATTGGGAAAGTACTTATATCCTTGGTATGTAATCTTCTGCTACTCCATATTCTCAATTCTTTTTGTGTGGTAAAATTAAAAATTTGTTGAACATATTTAAAAGCCATTCAAGAAGTAGGCCTCGTAAGATAAATGAAATGACACAATGAATGTGAGAATTTGCTTAAACTTTAAAAATCATAGAAGAGGCTTGTTGCATGAGTTTATGTATTGAAATCATTAACTACTGTGAAATTTTTTGATGATTTTCTCTATATTACACCATTGCAGGTAACAATATTCTATGATTCTATTTTGATGTTACAACATTATGTACTATATCCTGAAAAGAAAGGGACTTCTAAAAATTCTGAAGAAATCAAGTAACCACTAACTTGTGGAAATCTAGTAGATCAACAAATCAAAGATTCATTCAATTCTTCTAATCAGCCTCCAGCAGAAGTATGAGGAGTAACTTGGATCATGTAGTGTGCAATACCAATGTACAATGTCCGTAAATTAGGCACTGTAATTTAAAATCCCCCTCCTTCCCACGAGCACGTGTTTTGTGCAATAGGAGTTGGTATTCTCTTATCAAAAAAAGAAAAAAAAAAGATATGGAAGGAAATACTCATAAAAGTAGGGGTAGTATAAATATGTTATTTTTTTCTATATTTAGTAAAGGATGTACCAAATGCTTGATATATACATAGTACTGAAAATATATTTTCATTTCCTAAGGATGATGTACAAAATATATATAATATATTTATCAGAAAGAAATTTTGTTTATTTGATACAATTATCAGGTGGCTCTTTTTCTTTATTTTCTTATCCAACATGTTAGTGTGCATTATATTGGGGAGAACTATCCCTAATAGTAATAGGTTAAGTGACAATTCATCATAATAAGTGGATTTAATATCACATCTCAACTTAAAAATTTAATGTATTAAATTTATAGGTCGTTTTCGTTATGCCATTTGGGGTTACATGAATATATATCTTGCGTGAGAATCAACTGAGAGAATATATTATGCAATGAAAATATTTTGTCATGTAATGGAATAGAGGATTGGAACCATATTGACTCATTGCACTCATTAGAACACAAGTATATTAGAAGTCCAAATGCAGTGTTAACTATTTCCCCCTTAATTTGTTAATTGAAAAATACACGGATCTTGAAAAATGTTTTTAAATTTAGAGTAAATACCCTTTTTGGTCCTCAACAAATTTTACGATGCCCGTTTTAGTCCCTAGCAAATAAAAAGGCCCATCGTGGTCCCTAAGAAATACAAAATGAACCCATTTTAGTCCTTTTGAGGACTAATATGGGCCTTTTTTGAAATTGTGAGGGACCACAATTTCAACTAAATTGGTCCATTTTGAATTTCTTAGGGACCACAATGGGCCTTTTTATTTGCTAGGGACTAAATCGGACATCGTAAAATTTACTGAGGACCAAAAAGGGTATTTACTCTTAAATTTAAAGGTCAAAAGTGTTATGCTTCTTAAAACTTGGCTGTTTAATATCTGTCCCTTTTTTTGAAACTAACATGAGCGTCCTACAAATATGAACTGAATAAAAGCCAACAAATAAGCAATGTCATTTCATTCAATAATATTAGTTTACTTATGGTATTGCGTTCTTAGAGGGTAAGCTGCTATTGTTGGATATATTAATAATATAATCCAATAATATGTTCATATATAAGCTCAATAGGTGAAAGAATGGTTATTTGGGTCCATATGGGCTCAAGTCAAATAGCTTGCATTATATCTAGGGTTTCCTAAGCTGGAGGTAACACTGTTGAGCATTCCAAACTTTGATGTCTCTTGGTGTAATACTTCAAACACCTATAAACCCTTCTCTCTCAAACTCATAACCTCCAACAATCTTGAAATATTAGCAATCTTGAAGTATTAGCTTTGTGTGTCGGATTTGAGCGAGTAAGGTGTCTATTCGAAAATCTCATCGAGTGAAATTCATATTTTAAAACACTTTCGCGATTCGACGGAAGGAACTGGAGCCGCAACTTTTTGGTCCAGATCCCGAAAATTTCGGCCATTTTCAGAAAGTGAAACCTAATGGGCTTTGTTCTACTCGTCGAGACGATCGTTTTGAGTGGTCACTCGCCTTAAACGGAGATCGGACGAAGGAGATATGACTTTTTGAAGTTTTATGTACACTTTTATGCGAAAAAGAATATTCCTGCGAAAAGAAATATTCTGAGAGAATATTCTGTTAGTTGGGAAATATTCTGTTAGGGGACATTTCAATAATAAGGAAATGTTCCGGTGAGTTTCTTGCAACAGGGGTAGTCTATCTTAAGATTTTTGGGCGCTCTGAATCTGTTTTTGGGGTCTGTTTTGGCAAATTCCAAGTCTACAGAGCAGTTTGATGAAAGTTGGAGCCTTTGTTTTAATTTATGAAGTCTGAGAACTACAAGGTGCACTCTTTCTTGGGCATGATTGCCCTCAAATACTAGGGATAACCATCTGCATGATTTTGACATTTCATCACAAATATGTGTTCATCACTTTTTGCAACTATAATTGTATAATGGACTTTCATACAATACATTTTAATAGTATGTTACATTGCAAACTTGGACTCGAACTCCTGTTGAACAAATAATGGATCTTCTAATTGCCAAGCACCTTGCAACTCATCATCATCACCATAGATAATCTCTTCAAAGGGTACTCCCAATTAATATATGTATAATGCTTGCTATCATTCTAGAATAAGACACTATTTTGCACTACATATATAACCATGATATTCTTATCATATGCACTCACTAGATAAATATGACATGATAAATAAAATGAGAAAGTCATTAACGAATCACTATTAACTGGGTCAACTTGAAGGTTTGTCGAAGGAGGGATACTCATATTTATTGGCATCGTATTAGCATCAAAATCACCCTCCACATTAGTATCCAATGAATCACAGAGGGGAATTACACTTTCAGGTTCAAACTCATCATCAATGTACATATCCAATGAATCATCGTCTTCTTGATCCCCTAATATGATCTAACTTAACATTGTTGGAGGTGTACATGAGTGGAGAATTTTGTCTTCATGGCCATAATATTGTTCTGTGCTCATTTTCATCAACTAAACGAGTAAAGAAGATGACTAACCAGAGTCAACTTTAGCATATATCTCAATAAAGTTTTGTCCATTTTGGCCAAAATATGCATCGATCATATAATCCACATCTTTATTGTCATTGACATTATTATCAAGATAACATCAATTAGAAGTTTCGTACTTGGATGTCAAGCGAGAAACATATTGGTTGCCTTGGAGCCCTAATTTTTGTTGAATTCTCCTCTTGAGAATGTTGCATGTAGTGTCACGTTTGATTTGCATTATTTTTCTTTGACTTTCAAAAAATTGACCATTGGTACCTTCAAATTGCCTACTATTGTGGTACACAATTGTAACATGTTTGGGAACTTGAGCTCATATTTGCCACAGATTAGGGTTTGGAGATGAGTTCATATTTTTGCAAAAATATTCAAAGAGCCAAGGATAATGACAATAATTTGATAAGGGTAAAAGTTCAGGAATATGGGGTGAGAGTTAAATTGCTCGGTTGGAAGGAAGATGAAAAATGAGTGGGAGAAAATGATAAAAAAAGGGGATGAAAGAGATTTTGGCCAAAGCCCCCTGTTTTAAGCTTCTGGCTGATGGTTACTCTAGTAACTGGCCTATTTACTCAAGTAACAGTCGGTTAATAATGGTCAAACTGGAGAAATTAATATGTAATTTAAAAAAAAAAAAGATAAAATTAATATATAATTTAAAAAGGGAAGAATGTGATAATTTTTTCTTTGTTGAAAAAAAAGGATGCAATGGCCAATCACCCTTGTTATCATGTTTAGAAGTTTTGAATCATTCAGGTGGGCATATAATTTTAGGTTGACTACGTAAATGTATTGTTTGGAGTGAATTAAGCACATAATTAAAAATGTGTAAAAAAAATAGTTTTATTAAAGGAAAAAGTATTTCTCCAGTCACTGTAAACTCAAAATGACATCGTTTTAGGGTTATATGATTAAAAAAATTATAATTATAAAGACTAATATAACCATGCAATATATTAAAATTATAAAAATATCTTGATTTTTATCTCAAAACGATATCGTTCTGGACATCGAAGATAAGTTATCTCTTGAAAAATCCTTTACCCTTTATTGAAATATCTTATAAAGTTAGAAACAGTTTATTGTAAAGAATCGTGTACAAACTTTTCTTCTAATTTCACTTAAACTCCAAACGTTTTTGTAAACTTTTTATTCTTAACAATAACATAACTCGAATTTATTATAAATTTTCGTTAACGCAAATAATTTGTCGTTACTGTTGTTGGAGGGAGGAGAAGAGTTATTTGTCCTACCTTTAAATTTTTATTAAGAAAATAATAAAGCTATTTTTAGTTTTTTATTTTTATTTTAAATAAGGGAAATGTTATATTGACAATTTTTTTCTTCTTACAAACTACAGTAAGTTTGACTATGACCAATCATACACTCTTAATTGAAATCTAACTTAACTAATCAGACTTAATATAATTTTTAATATAGTTTGTAAGTTTATAAGAAAAAAAAAATTGTTAATATAACATCTTCCTTTAAATTATTTCTATGAAAACTTAAACTTTGATATGTAATGCGAATAATTAAAAATTAGGGCACTCTATCTCCTGTGATGCTGACATGACAATGGTAGTAGTGACCACTGGTCCGTCACGCGTAGCACGCTTATATTAATTAATTGTTTATTTCATAAACTTTGGGTCAATGTACTCACAAATTTATTTTGAAAATAAGAAAATACATGAAATGGAAAGAAAGTAAAACACCCTTATACTTAGAGTGCCTAAATATTTAAGTATGAAGAGATTAAATAAAATAATTAATACAATAAAATAATTTTAATAATTAAATGATAACCATGGAAGTTTTCCTATTTTTTCATTCGATTTTTTGAAAATTTAATTAGTCTGTTTCAAGCATTCTGATTATAAGGGGTGCAGCTCATTTTTAATTAGAGAATATATTTTTTTTGGTCTCTTTTTCACTCTATATAAAGTATTTACTTAATTTCATTTTAACTATTTCATGAATGCTGTTTTTGTTAGTGTTGTTTGATTCCAACACGAAATCTACACACATGCAAATACACAAGAAAAGTCCCAATGCATATATAATCAATCATAAAAACACATAACCAGTTTTTGTATTTAGTTTTGATATGTTATTATTATCAATTGCACTATTATTTAATTGATATTTCCTTAAAAAGGTTAAACTTTTTCAAATAAGCAGTGTTATTAAACCCGACCCGGGCATCGATCCGGTCAGGGTACTGGGTCATCGGGTCACTGGTCGGACCGATGGGTCACTGGTCGGACCGGTTGACCCGGATATATACAGATATATAAAAATATATATAAATATAAACATATAAATTCAATTATATTCTTCATATCTAACATGAATTAAACAAGATTCATTATTATGTCAATTTAAATTGTAACTTAAAATCCTCCTAAACATACATCTCAATGACATTGAACTCATATTTTTCAAATTCAACTACATTAAAAATGACACATGTCACAATCTCTTAATTTATTATTTCGCAAATTGCTTCACTGGAATTTGAGGCCATTGTAGAAGAGTATACTAGCAAATAATCTTACAAAAAAAAAATTAAAATGAGTTCTACATTTATTTTGACAAGATAAAACAATTTTGGTTTTTTTTTTTTTAAATGCATGACCCGACCGGGTCACCGGGTTTGGCCGATTTTGTCCTGGTTTTGACCGGGTTTGACCGAATTGATGTATTACCGGTCCAATGCTTAACCCGAACCGTCCGATGACCGGGTCACCGGGTTCCGGGTCAACCCGGCGGGTTGGGCCGGGTTTTACAACACTGCAAATAAGTGTCATTGTAGTAAGACTTATTAAAAATATTATCATAGCCAGTCTTGTAAAATAATCTATATATCAATATATAATCGTATAATAATTAAAAATTTGTATCATGATATAAAGTGGCCAAAATTATACATTTTGTTTTCTGTTTTGAAAATATAATGGTGGTTTTAGTAAGTTGAGAAAAGAGTCTGAAAACTCAAAACAACATATACAATTTTAACTATAAAATTGGAGGAGGATTATACTGATAATTTTTGCAAACTTACAAATTATACTATATTTTATTCATAAGAGTGTCTTACCGATAAGACATAATGTAATTTGTAAAAAAAAGTTTGTAAATATAACATTCTCTGTAGAATTAAATGATTAGATGTTAGCGCATATATAATTTGTTAAGACTACTCGTTAATATAGTGGATGAAGAGTGATGATTTATAAACACATTTTTTTACACTGAATTTATGCACGCTGTGTAGGTAGTGTATGCAGTCAGCTTCCCTTAAACGTACCACGTGACACAACTAATTATTTTAAAATTATGATCCCTGGGCCACAAAACAATCCCATGTTGAATGTTGATAAGAATTGTTGTAGAAATTTTGAGGCTTCTACACCCTATGCCAGGAATAAAAAAACATAACTCGTGTTCCATGAGAGTAACGAAACTATATGGGAAGCATATTTATTATAAATTATGAATACAACATACGAAAGCAACTCATTCCTCAAACGTACCTAAGATTGCCTCTCTTTCTCTCTTTCCTTTTTCCTTGCTGATAATATTTTAAGCAAAACTTTCATTTCTGCTTCAATTTTGATTTCTTTCCTCAGGTAGCTAAGGACCTTAGGTAAGTTATTTCTCAGTTTTCAATTTATCACTATTGTGGACTTTCTTTGATTGAAGATTTTAATCACTTGTGTTTCTGCTCTTACTTTACTTACTGTAATATTCTAGTTGTGTATCTCTGCTTTCACAGCCTTAATTAAGGTTGGTTTTTAGTGATGCATAGTTAACTAGTTCTCTGTGGTTTTGAATTTTTTTTTTTTTTTTTTTTTTTGACTATTTAAATTGTTGCAAACCTTAACTAGTTATTAGTTGATAGAGGGTTGGGAACTTTGGCTCAATTAAAGCGAAGACTGGATACTGCACTAGTTCTTACTGATAGTTTCTATAGAAAATTGTGCTCTTTTCGTTTTGAATGGTTGGGATAATTGTAAATAAGGGTAGTTTTTAAATAACTTTAATTGTAAAAATATATATATATGCCAAAGGAAAGTTCTGATATATGCTGGAGCACACTGCTCTAGCTTTTGGCCCAGTGGATGGTTACTTGTTTTTGAGACGTGTGTATATTTAACATTAAAGGATTGGGGAAAAAAAAAAACAACCAAAAAACTATGCAGTAAAGCGCTACAATACTTGAGCCTTTTATTAGATAACCTTTTGATTAAATATTTTTTTCGTTAAATAATTAAAATTTCATACAATAATAATTTTTTTCTCATTGTGTGGAATACTTTTTTTAAACTAAAAGTTACTTTTAAGTTAAAGTTAAAAAAAAACTTAACAAATAAAGTTAAAAGCTATTTGATAATTGTATAAAATTGCTCTTAAAATTTTGAAGGGAGAAAGATGAAATGATTTGCTATTAGGACAACATAAATAAAAATTTAGAATAAGGGTATAACTGAAAAAAAAAAAAATTTCAAAAAAACTGTCATCCATATTAAAAATAGATCTTCGTGAGAGTTTTTAACTTTTAGCTTTTTTTTATTATAAGAAAAGTTCTTTTTATAATAATAGCTTTTGTAAAATTATATTTAGCTAACCTTATGTTTATAAGGAGAAAATAAACTAAAAATAAGAGCTCCCAAAGAGACATTAGTCAGAAGGCAGAAGACAATAATAAAATTTAAAGAAAAAACTAATATTTTATTTATTTATTTATTTATAATGATATAAATACAATAAAAAAATTTATTTTAAAAATTTATAGATATTATGAAACGGAAGAAATATTAAAATACAATATTTTTCATTTTTTGTTCTTTTTTTTTTTGTGGTTGACATGTTTAATTTTAATTTATTTAACTTTATTATCAATGTTATTATTTTGGTGTTGAATTGTTTCACAGGAAACATTGTTCTAAAGTTCTTACGAATTTTTCTGTGAAATGATTCAACAGAAACAATTTTTCTTGATATCATTCAACATTTTATGCAAAAAACTGTGACATATATCTGAATTGAAGTTGTATTGCTTTAAAGCAAAAGTTGCAGATATGGGTAGCGCATATAAGCCAAAGAACATTCTTATTACTGGAGCAGCTGGATTCATTGCATCCCATGTATGCAACAGGATAGTCCATAACTACCCTTCATACAAGATCATTGTCCTTGACAAGCTTGATTATTGTTCAAATCTCAAGAATCTGTTTCCCTCACGTTCATCCCCCAACTTCAAGTTCATCAAGGGAGATATTGGAAGTGCTGACTTAGTCAACTACATTCTTCTCACTGAATCTATTGATACCATAATGCACTTTGCAGCACAAACCCATGTTGATAACTCTTTTGGCAACAGCTTTGAGTTCACCAAGAACAACATTTATGGAACCCATGTCCTTCTAGAAGCCTGCAAAGTCTCTGGTGGTCAGGTGAAGAGGTTTATCCATGTCAGCACAGATGAAGTTTATGGTGAAACAGATGAGGATGCTGTGGTGGGAAATCATGAGGCTTCTCAGCTTTTACCTACAAATCCTTATTCAGCTACAAAAGCTGGCGCTGAAATGCTTGTTATGGCATATGGTAGGTCTTATGGATTGCCAGTTATAACCACAAGAGGGAACAATGTTTATGGGCCTAATCAGTTCCCTGAAAAGTTGATTCCAAAGTTTTTGCTATTAGCCATGAAAGGAAAAACTCTCCCAATTCATGGGGATGGGTCTAATGTCAGGAGTTATCTCTATTGTGAAGATGTTGCTGAGGCTTTTGAGATCATTCTCCATAAGGGTGAGGTGGGACATGTTTATAACATTGGGACAAAGAAAGAAAGGAGAGTGATTGATGTGGCTAGGGACATATGCAAGCTTTTCTCTTTGGATCCAGAGACACATGTTAAGTTTGTGGAGAATAGGCCTTTCAATGACCAGAGGTACTTTTTGGATGATGAAAAGTTGAAGAATTTGGGTTGGTCGGAACGCACTACATGGGAAGAGGGTCTAAGGAAAACCATGGATTGGTATGTTAAGAATCCTGATTGGTGGGGTGATGTTTCTGGAGCTTTGCTTCCTCATCCAAGAATGCTCACAATGCCAGGAGTTGAGAAATACTATGATGGCTCTGAGGTGAGCAAAACTGCTTCCAATGTTAATGTAAACAATTTGTCACCACAGAAGCCATCTTTGAAGTTCTTGATATATGGTGGTGCAGGGTGGATTGGGGAGCTTCTAGGGAATATTTGTGAGAAACAAGGGATACCCTTTGAATATGGTATAGGACGTTTAGATGATAGATCACAGCTCCTGGTTGATATTAGGACTATTAAACCAACTCATGTTTTCAATGCTTCTTCTGTGACTGGTGCTTTAAATGTGAAATGGTTTGAAGCTCATAAACCTGAAACCATACGTGCCATTGTTGTCAGTGTGTTAACATTGGCAGATGTATGCAGAGAGAGCAGTCTCCCCATGATGAATTATGCCTTTGGTGGTAATTTTGAAGATAGACCAAATTCTATTGATTCCTTCTATTTTAAAACCCAAGCCAAGGTAGGTTCAAAAAAAATTTCATTTTGCTTGTTATGTTGCACATTTTTTATTACATGTCTAACACAATATGGTGTCAGGTTGAAGAGTTTCTAGAGGAATATGAAAATGTGTGCACACTCAGAATCCAGTTACCTGTATCCTCTGATCTGAGCAATCCACATAACTTCATCACCAAGATAACAAGGTCTGATAAGGTGGCTAACATTCCAAACAGCATTACTGTTTTGGATGAACTTCTGCCACTTTCAGTTGAGATGGCAAAAAGGAATTGCAGGGGCATTTGGAACTTCACGAATCCTGGTATTGTGACTTGCAATGAGATTCTTGAGATGTACAAGAATTATGTTGACCCTGGTTTTATGTGGGTTAATTTTACACTTGAACAACAGGGTCATTTCCCTTTTCCAAGCATTAAGGATGTGGATGCATCAAAACTGAAGAAGAAATTTCCTGAGCTGTTACATGTCAAGGACTCGTTGATTAAATATGTCTTTGAACCAAAAAATAAAAGCTTGGGTTATTGAGTAGCAGAACTAACCATGTATAAATGTATACATGAAGGTGGTCTATGTATTGATTTTCCCCTTTTTGTACTATGGTCTGAATTAGTTTGCTAGTCTTCTGCACTTTTTTTCAAAATCATAATGTCCTATAAGCTAATGTATCATATAGAGAACTGTATCCTATTTCCTTTTTTTTGTAGAAATAACATCTGAATGGCGTTTATAATTATGTCTTTTTTTTCCCTTTTTCATTGGTATTTGGTTATTTTCTGCATTGCGAATTCTCATCTCAATTCATTACATGTTTAAAAGAAGCAGTTTGTGACATTGGACACCAGTGAAATTCATGGTATTTTGTAACATGAGAATCTTCTCATCTTGAATCATTTGACTGAATAAATCTTCATCAAGTAACTGTACTTATATAATCTAGAGCAAGGATGCAGACATAATCTAGCTTGAGTAATTTTGACGTTTGTATTTAATTACAATTTGCCCCGTCTTGTATCTGGAATGAATGATGCTGATAAACACAAATTGGGCCATGAATTATGTATTTATTAATGGGCCTTGCCTAAAATCTAATGTTGTGAACTGAAAAATTAATAAAAAGGAAAAATTGTACTTCGGAAAAAATAAAAAAAGAAGAGGAAGAAGGAAAGTGATAAATAAAGAGATATCGTGTTTTTTATTCAACAAATAATCCTTTGAAAACATCTTATAGTTTGACCGTTTGACGGCCTTGTGAATTTGTGATGAAACGGGGAAGGTAAAAATCAAGGAAATTAGAAATGTTTAGGCCAATTTATATAGACTTCATTTACAGAGAATTTATTTGAACCGGTTGACTCGGTCAAAATTTTAAAAACTAATTATTAATTTAGATTAAAGATATGTTTGAGTTTTAATATGATTTGGAAACAAAAAATTCCGAAAACCATTTCTTATCAAATTTAATGCATGTTAATGCATGTACACTAATCAGATAACCACTTCTTTACAAATTTCTCCATATAACGGAAGAATTGATTAGTTTGGCTAATGTCCTCTTGAATTTTATGAAACAAAAATTCTAAGACAGTGAAAAGACAAGACAGTGATAGTAAAGAAAGAGAGAGCTTCAAATAGGAAACATCTCAAAGAGAATAGTTCCAAATAAAAATAAAAAGAGATAAGATATGACTACCATCAATTAGTGTTATTATTTATCTATCGGTTATATTTATTTTCACCGTAACCATATAAAAATGAAAATAAATATAAAGTATTAAATATATGAAGAAAAAAGAAAATTTTTAAAAAATTAAATGAGAATCGTTTGATCATCATAATAACAAACTGGTAGTGATATTAGTAATAACATTAATTGGTAGTAACAATATCCTATTTCAAAATAAAATATAGAAAATATAAAATAAAGTAAACTAAAAAAAAAAACAAGCAAAATGTTGTTGAAATGATATCAATCATTTCAAGAATTACTCATCCTCACAAAATTGAAGGGGAAAAATGATAAGAGGAGGTGAACCAATAAGTATAGAGCTGACATGCAATGGTGGATTTACCCATACTAAGAATATTTAATATAACATAAAACTAAGAGGGGAGACAGAACTGGGCAAGCTCAACGTTTTTTTATCTATAGACTACATCACACGAAATTTCGGAATAAACTAAGCCCATAAATCGGGTATCAGTCTCCTCCAAATGAAAGCAATCAAGAAAATAGGGGCGAAATCCCATATTTTCTATCGTTTTCGATCATTTTCATTGCTAAAGACGGACAATAGAAAGAGTTAACACTCGGAAACAAGATATCTCGAATTGACGAACACCTTCGGAGATTCAGAACAAGGACCCATCATTCAAACATAGAAAACAAAATAAAAAATAAAGAAAGCGTTATATTTCTAGAGATTTTGTATAAGAGAAACAAATTTTCAGCACACGCAAAATAGGAATGGTCTCGGTCCTATTTTTTCTCTCTCGTTCTACATGTGAGTTTTACTTATAATTTTATTTTTACTACATGAAATAATTATATAAAAATTATTTCCCATAAAGAAAAGAAAGAAATATACTTCACAGTTTTAGAACTGAAACCAAGGGGCAAGACAATATGTTGTAGGGTTTAGGATTTAGAAGGAAGAATTAGAGAGAAAAGATGAGAAAGAAATTGTAAAGAGATAGAATTTGTCCAACAATTTTCTCATTTTCTCCACTTTTTAGTTTCTGTTATATATTCTGAATGTAACAAAACAATTCAAATTGTAAAGTGTTTACAATATAATAAAAGTGAAAATAAGCTTACCAAAAAAAAGTAAAAATAAAAGTTAGCCCATTATGAAATCCTCAAAATGTTCGGGCTTAGAAGTGTTCCTTTGGGTCCTGCCAGTGTTAGTGACTATTGGGCTTGTGGAAGTGGGCCACCAAGGTCCACTACATCCTTCCCTCCTTGAGAACCAGCATCGTCCGCAATGACTGATTGGGGCAACCGACCAAACGGGCCAATCACAAAACGGTTTGAAGCATCACACGGATTGTCACGTGAATTGCTGGATGAGTGAAGAGAATTTGAGGAGCTGTCCACGTGTCGACAAGCGATTGGACCGCTTATGTCCTTTGTCTTTAATGTATGTGAACCCTGTTTTTCTCCAGAAGCTTCATGTGTAACAGCCACCAGCGGAGGGGTCTGCTGGACTGGGTAACTCACATTCTCTGAGTCTGTAAGGGTGACTAGGTCTTTCTCCTTGCTGGGCAATGTAACCCTTATAGCATCGGTCATCTTTGTTTCGGGTGGTTCTGTTGTCACTGTAGTACCATTCTCCTTCAAAAATTCACTTAGTGATGGGGATCCAGGTGAAAGATCCAAACTTTGTGGAGTCTTACCCCTCCTATTAGTCTTTTGTTGACTCGAAACTAAGTCCATAACTGGAAACTCGTCCTCCCATGTACAGTCGTCAAGAGGTGAACCATCCCACTAAACTAAGATCTGGGGAACTTCGTGTCCCTGGCACCAGATTATGCGGTGATCCACAACGACAGTAGGATGATGAACAAGAGGTCCTTCGGCGATGATTCTGGCAGTGGTAGGTGGGGTGGATCCCGTTTCGCATGAAAAGGGTGTAAGAGGGAAACATGGAAGACATTATGGATGCGGGGGGTCTCAGGAAGCTGAAGACGATATGATACTTGGCCAACTCACTCAATGATCTGGAATGGATCATAAAACCTTTGCGCAAGTTTCTAAGAAGAACGACGAGCAACCGACAACTTCCTATGAGGCTGTAACCGAAGCAATACCTACTCTCCCATGGTAAAAATCTTATTTTTTTCATTTTTTATTTGCATATGTTTTCATTGCATTTTGAGATCTAAACAAGTTGTCTTTTAATGTCTGGAAAATGTTGGTCCTGGTTGCTAAATCAGACTCTATTACTGCCTCTAAGGATGATCCCAAAGTGTAAGCTAGAAAATTTGGGGGCTTGCTGCCGAAAGCGATCTCAAAAGGAGTCAAACCAGTCGATCTATTGAATGATGTATTAAAATGGTATTCTATAAAACTCAGGTAACTGGACCATAACTTAGGGTGTGTAAGTGTAAAGGCTCTGAGATATTGTTGAAGACATCGATTAACTCGTTCGGTTTGCCCATCTGATTGTGGGTGATAAATGGTGTTGTATTGCATGGCTATGCCTTGAAGCTGGAATAAGGTCCACCAGAAGGCACTTAAGAAGATGGGGTCACGATCTGAAATTATTGTGCAGGGAAACCCATGAAGTTTGCCCATTGATTCCCAAAATTGTTTTGCTACCTGGGAAGCTGTATAACTGGTACGTAATGCTATAAAATGCCCTCCTTTTGAGAATCCATCTACCACTACAAGAATAGCAGTGAAACCATTAGATTATGGTAGATGGGTGATGAAATCCATGGATAAGTCAGTCCAATGGGAATCAGGGGGTGTAATGGGATGTAGCAGCCCATAAGGTGTATGATTTTAGGGGTTTAATTTTGTGGTAAACAGGGCAATGTTTAACAAAGATTTTGACATCATTTCTGATTCCTTTATAGGTAAATGAACTGGAAATGCGATGAAGTGTGGCATTGAAGCTTGAGTGACCCCTCTGGATCGAAGAATGCATATCGTGCAGCAGCTGAGGAATTAGACTTGAACCAGCAGGAAGATAGACTCGATTATTGCAAAGTAGCAGCTTTCCTTGGATCCTCCATTTCGGCCATAAACTAGGAATAGTTTTTAGATCTTGTAAAATTTGAGTAGCATAAGGATCATGTTGTAACTCAGTATGTAATATGTCAGTATAGTTGGAAGTAGGATCTGATAGGGAAAGGAGTTGGGGGGAAGTTGGAGCCTCTATCCCCTTTGGTGTCTAGAAAGGGCATCTGCTACAATGTTGGTCTTTCCAGATTTGTATTGAATAGTAAAATTAAACCCCATTAGCTTTGCGAGGAAGAGCTACTGTTTCAGAGTTTGGATCACTTGAGACATGAAGTGGTGTAAACTTTGATGGTCCGTGTGGATTATAAAATGGGCACCCAGTAAATACTAGCGCCATTTAGCAATGGCAACAGAGATGGCAAACATATCCCTGACATAGGTCAATTTGAGTCGCATAGTGGGAGACAATTTCTTGCTGAAAAATGTGATGGGGTGATTGTTCTGAAGAAGAACAACACCGACACCTATTCCAGATGCATCTGTCTCCAAAACAAATGGAAGAGAGAAATCTGGCAGAGCTAGAATTGGTGCATTTGTGATTAAGGATTTCAATTTTGTAAAAGCTGTTGTGGCAGCTAGTGACCAATTAAAACTAAACTTTCCTAACAGATTAGATAATGGAGATGCAACTATCGCATAATGTTTGATAAACCTGCGATAATAGCCCTAGAGTCCCAAGAATGCTTAAACGTGCGTTTGTGAAGTGGGTAATGGCCAATCAGCAATTGCTTGGACCTTGCTTGGATCAGGAGTGACCCATTACCAGAAATGATATGACCAA